TAATGTTAAGATTGTTATTAGGATTTTTCAAAATTTTGATTAAGTGACCAAGTTCTTTAAGTGATAAATGAAGTGAGATACTGTGAGAAGAGTATTGGTAATTATAGCTACATTTGTGTAATTTTTTTTGTTAGAAATAAAGTGTATTGTAGTATTAATAATTGAGTGTTTAATTTTATACTAGGTAGTTTCAATACTTTCATTTGTATTATAGTTAAGTGGAGTGTTGTGTGTTTTGAAATTAGAGGAAAAAAGGTCAGAAAATTCTATCCAACTTTCTAATAACATAGTTTATAATTAAAGATTTTATGACTAATATCAGTATGATATTGTGGTGGTTTATTATATGCATTAGTAAAAATCCAAGAGGAAAGAAGAATAGAATGGTCACTTAATGTAGAGGTATTACTATTATCAAGTTTGTATGAAAGAAAGAACTATATATTGAATGAGTTAGTCCAAATATAGTCAATACAGCTTTGACTAGTATTGTTTGACCATGTTTAGTGTTTGTTGTTAATATGTGCTCCAAGTTTATACATGTTAAATTAATGTAGATAGTTAATAAGTTGAAATTTGGATGAGAAACTACAAATGTTGTTATATGTATTAAAATCTCCAAGAACAATTGGATATAGATTTAGTTGATGGGCTTGTTGAATCTATGCTATTATTGTGTTTTGTGTTTTATTTCATTTCTGCATATTAGTGAAAGAAAGGTAAATTGCAATAATGTGAAGTTTAATATCACTTTTGAAGAAAAGGTCTAAAGCAATAGCTCTATCTGGATGTGTTTGACAATTATGTATATGAGGTTTAAGTTGGTTACAAATTATAATAGCAATGCCTTCTGCTGAGTTTTCAGAGTTTATCTAGAAATAGGCAAAAAGATTATTATTACAAAACTGAAGATTAGTTTTGTTACCAATTTTTATTTCATGCTATATTAATGTTGTTGTAGAGACAGTAGTTTTACTAAGCTTTCTTTTTAGTTGCTGTATTAAAGCCTTAAACATTGTGTGTAACAATATTTAGATATAGGTCACATAAGTTTTGGGTTGGTATAGAGGTTTGTAGTCTGGTTGTTAGTAGGTGTAAAGATAAAGTATTGTTAAGAAATAAGTCTAATATGTAAGAAGTAAAGTTGAAAGAATATGATTTAAGAGGAAGATTATAAAATTTATAATATGATTAGAAAAAAATAAGTCATTAGGGAGGTATATATAGGTTTTACTATAAATAAAATTAATAAAGAATGTAATACTAGTAACCTTTTGGTTGTAATTATGTTTATTAATATGTTGTATAAGTGTTTAGATAGTTTGATTGTGAAGAAGAAGAGGTATGTTATAATAAAGAAAGAATTTGTTGAAACATATGTCAAGATTATAGAAGGTTAAAGATATTGAAAATGATCTTTTAGAGTTGTTTTCTACATAGTCGATCACTGTATGCTTAGCTCTAACAGCTGTGTAAGGTACTATAGTCTGCCCTATACATTGGGTTTGACTATCATAATCTAGGCCTTCTATATGAGTATATATGTAATAGTAGTCTTAGAATCAAATTATATATAATAATTAACTAATTAAGGTTTGTGTTAGATAAATTAATTTTGATGCTTTATAAAATTAACCAATCAAAATTGTGTTATATAACTCAAATTTGGCACTCTTTTAAAAAAAAGTTAGATGTTTTTTGCTGTTTCACACTGTACAACTAAAATTACTAATAAAGATATAAGCAAACCTTACTTTAATACCAAAAAAAATTAGTTTATCTGAATAACAATAATATTATAGTTAAAAATATAATATCAGCTAACTTTGAAAAAAATTATTATAATAGTTTTTACTACCAAATTAATAATATATATAATAGTATATTTAAAATATATATGCTAGACCTGATTAAAAAATAATCATAAATTAGAATCAATAAAAGGCTACTTATACTAAAAAGAAAATTAATTAAAATATATCTGTTCATCTTATAATAACTAGAAATAGATATTGGTTTAATGTTATTCTATTTGAATAAGTATAAAATAGTTATAAAAAGATATAATTATAGTAATAATATTAAAATTTTATTGCAAAATGTGGTGACCTAGTGAAGTGGTCAGGTTGTTAACCCTTCAAGTAGTTAGTTGGGTGTTCAATCTTATTAATAGCAAAAATTTGGATAATCACCTATGTAATACTCATATTATGGCAATTGTTACTAATGATTAGGTTAGGATATCTGTAATGGCAGTTACACCAGCATGACTGGCAGGTCATGGGGCATTTGTGTAACAGGTCCCATGACATTGTTCTTTGGGACAAGATTGTAGTTATATGAAGAAATGTGTTGTAGTTAGGGAAGAGCCTTCTTTATACATTGCCAGTTTTAGCACAGCACTATAAGCACAGATGTGACCCCAATTTAGTCACAGACTAATTGATGGGGCTGGTCCAGGATGGTCTTAATTACTGGATTACTGGTAGGCTGTCATAGGTCACATGCCAAATACTAGAGGTCACCGGTCTCTAAGTAACAATGTTGGTGATAGGAGGGTCAAATGCCAGACTACACTATGCAAGAATATTGCTTATCACTTTGCTACTGGTAGGGTTTCAATTTATACTTCTACTTATTAATTTAGCAGAATGAGTTCTTTATTTATTGGGCATATGCTCTATTTATACAAATTTTAGAAGTTGGGTCTCAAACCCCTGCTGGAGTTTTGGACTCATACCTGGAATTAGGAACTCTAGATTAGGGTCTCGAATCTGATATTGAGGTTTAGAACCCTATTACTACATCATGCTAACTATGAATTACGCAATGCAGGGTTTTGTACCTTATTTTGGAGTTTCGAACCCTATTACTATGCTATGCTAACTTATTTATGCAGACTGTTTATGAAGGTTTCAAACCCTATTACTATGCTATACTAACTTATTTATGCAAACCATTTATGAGGGTTTTGAACCCTATTACTATGCTATACTAAAAACAGACAGCAGAAGAAAAAAAAATAAAAAGTACAGAGTTTTTTTCATAACATCTTCCCAGCTCAAAGAGTGAGCTCCTGCGAACTTATCACCATTCTCCAAATTTCCTCCTCTCTCAACCTTTCTGCTTCCACCAACATTGCCTCAGAAAAATCTCTCTCCAACATTCATTTCAGCACTGAAATTGATATATGTTGAACTTGATGCATACACCACTCACCCCACATGGCAAAAAACATGTATACTCATTTTGCAATTTTCTATACTAAGCCCATCTTGGAGGCCGGAAGTCGCTCAGCCAACTCTCTCTGTGTTTCGTCACTCCATCCCTTTTTAAACAACAAGCTTTCTACTTTATAGTAAGTCTCTAATACCTCAGCTGTTGATTGGGTCCTTGATTCAAGTCTTCGATGTCACTACACACGTTACTTAGTTTTTCACCTTAGGTTTCTCCAGTGGCTTCAATAGGCATTGCAAGTTCAGTTCCCATGGGGTGATCTAAGTCTTGGAGATACAGAGCCAAATGGTTGTAGATTTGCTGAGCTTTGGTTCTTCTTTCTGTTCTCCCAAATCCTTCGTGAATCTCTTGGTCCTGGTATTGAAAGATCACTTCCTTCTCTTTGACTTCCAGTTCTTCATTAGGTTCTATCTAGTCTACAAGTTGTTGGATTGTTTTTCTTAAAGTTTCAAAATGTTGTTCCATTCCCCTTTTCTCTCTTTTTTTTTTTTTTTTTTTATTCATATTTATATATATAAAAAAATTTTTTTTTTTTTATAATTTTACCATTACCTCATTCCGTTGTCATTTCGTGCTTTATAGCATTTTAATTGAATTCTGTGAATTGCCTCTTTTATTACCCTTTCATCATTTCACATTGTATGTAATTGGTACGTACTATTACCTATTATATCATGCACTCAGTATGGTCCTGACCACTTCTTCTCTAACTTACTATCTAATTGTTTTTCTAGCTTAGCCCGGTACCTTAACACCTTATTTCCAATCCCAAAACTTTGCAAGAGGTATTGTCAGTTATAGCTCCATTTTTGCTTTTGTTGGGCCTTGTGAATGTTCTCACATGCCTTGATTAGAACTTCAAAAAGTTCATCCACCAATTTTAAGGTTCAGGCTAAAACCATGGACTCATAGTAGTTATTATCTGTAGGATCCACAGGGTAAGTTTCCAGCAGTAATTCTATAGGCAACACAGCCTCTCTTCCATACATCAGATAAAAGGGGTTATATTTGGTCGTATTATGCTTGGCGTCTTGCAAGAAAATAGAGCAGGACTCATATATTCATTCCAGTCCCCTTGGTACTAACTTACAAACATTGCTAGTGCCTCACAAATGGTTCGATTGAACTATTCAACAAGACCATTGGTCTGGGGGTGATACGTGGACAAGAATTTGTACTTAATATCAGTCCTGTTACAGGCCTCCTTTATAACCTGGTTTTTAAATTGGGTTCTCTGATCTGTCAAAATTTGTCGAGGACAGCTATGTCGGCTAACTATATCTTTCAATACAAAGGTGGCAACAGACTCTGCCATACAGTCAGGTAACACTAGAACCTCAGGCCATTTCGTCAAATACTCTATTGCTACCACCAGGTACCTATTACCATTTCTCATGAGAGGCAAAGGCCCTACTATATCCATTCTTACTCGGTCAAATGGTTGAGTTACCTGTATCAGGTGTAGTGCTTCTCGGGTCTTTGATTTTCAACAACATTGACATACATCACAACTCTGTATATAACTCTTGATATCCCCTATCATTTGAATCTAGTGATACCACCTTCACACTTTTTCTATAGTGGCTCCCTCTTCTAAATGGCCAGACATAGGGTCATCATGTAAATCTTTCAGCACCATCCCTACTTCTTCATGCTGCAATATCCTCAAAGGTCAATCGAGCTCTCGGCAATTCTTTCAATACAACACTTCTTTCCATACTATGTAATACCTGAACTGATTCTTTAACTTTCAGTTTTGTTCCTTTGAATATTCCTTAGGCAGTTCTAACTCAGTCAAATATTGAATCAGGTTAGTATAATCTTTGGATTCTAGGGATTTGTTCAGTTTGTTAGTTTTTATTTATTTATATATATATATATATATTTTTTTTGTTTTTATATATATTATTTTTGTATATGCCAAGACACTGTTACTTGGACTGGATTACAGATTTGGGTCAAGAGTCTACTTATAATTAATCAAGAGTGATTTCTGGGTAGTAGATTCAATTTACCTTAGAATAGTTAGTTCAAAAGCACTCATATGCATTTAGGTCTCTTTTAACTCATTTTGGCACCTTTTCCAGTTGGTTCGTTGTTTTGCTGACTATTATACTAGTATTTTATACCAAACTATTGATTCATGTGCCCCATACCCTATGCATAAACATTGTAGCCGACTCTTAATTACTATGTCCGTATTGTTATTAATGTTTTGCTTATTATTACTAGTTTATATACTAATATATATTTATTTATTATTGTTATTATTATTATATATATATATTTTTTTCTATTCAGACTCCTCTACCCACAATAGCCCATCAACATTCTCCAATTGCCTCCCAGGTCAGTACTTCACCATGAAATCATAGCCCTGAAGAGTCATGATATACCTTGCCATCCTACCAGTAGCATTAGCCATATTGTTGAGGTAGGTCAAAGCTGTATAATTGGTCACTATTGTAAATTGGAATCTGTGGAGATATTGGTGAAACTTCTTCATAGCCCAAACAATAGGGTACACTCTAATTCAGTTATTGTGTAATTCTGCTCAGTAGGCTTTGTTGATCGACTGGCATACTTCACAACACCTTCAAGCCCATTATCACCAGGCTGAGACAAAACAGCATCAAGAGCAAAGTGCAATGTGTCTGTGTACAAAACAAATTCAACATCATCTCAAGGATGAGTGAGGATGGGGGCTGAAGTGAGCCTATTCTTCAATTTGTTGAACGCTTCTTGTTGCTGCTTCTTTCAGGCAAAATTTTCTCCTATTTTCAATAGTTTGTAGAGGGGCATGACTATACTCAAGAAATCATTAATGAAGCGATGATAGAATCTAGCCAAATCTAGAAACCCTCTTAATGCACGAAGGTTCTTGGGTCTGGGAAAGTTACTCACAGCGGCTACTTTTGCTGTAGTTGGAGTTATACCTTTGCCAGAAATTTTATGTCCCAGGAACTCTATTTGGTCTTGTTCAAAATAACACTTGTCTGGGTTTAACTTTAGATTCGCTTGGCGCAGTTTACTTAGAACAATGTCCATATGGCTCAAGTGTTTTTCAAAACTAGAGGAGTAGATGTTGACATCATCTATATAGGCCAAAACGAAGTCCCACATCACTTTTTGGAGTTGCGATCCATTAATCGTTAAAAGGTGGTAGGGCATTTGTTAGGCTGAAAGGCATTACTACAAATTCATAGAGCCCAAATCTTGTTGTAAAGGCTGTTTTTTCACAATCATATAGATGTACTCCAACCTGCCAGAATCCACTGGCAAGGTCCAGGGTTGTATACCAGGTCGAGTTCTTGAGAGCTTCCAATAACTCATAATTCTAGGGAGGGTGTAGCTATTATGTTTCGTTCATTGATTCAGCTTCCTAAAGTCAAAACACAGCCTTATCTTCCTGTTTTTATTCTTGACCAATATGACGGGGGATGCCTACAGACTGCACGACAGACGAATTAACCTGACTTCCTCTATTCTCTTTATTTCTTGGCCAATAAACTCATGCTTTATCTTGGATGTGGGGTAAAACCGTTGCTTTACAGGGGGGCTTTTCTCTGTATAAATTTCATGTTGCACAATGGATGTCCTACCTAGCTGGTCAGGTTCTTGAGGGAAAATGTCCTCATACCACTTAATATTTCTTTCATTTGATCATGCTGTTCAGAAGTCATATCTCCTAACTTAAAATCATCCATCTTCTTTTCCTTTATATGGGGTTTTGTTTTCTGGTCCACAACTTCATTCTGCATGCACTCTGATTCATAGTGTCCTTTCCTTAAGCACAATCTGCACTAAACATCGATCTTCTTCTTAATAGGATAAAACCTGAAATACAAGTACGTTTGACTTACCAACCCTTCTTCTTCATTGTGCTCATCCTCGTCGTCAACCTCCAATTTGTTACTATCATCATTGCTACTACAAACATCATCCTTAGAACCTTCATCTTCCTCTTCAGCTTCTTTTTCTTTTTCTTTTTCTTCTAAAGGGATTCGATCCTGAATGTGGGTTGGCTTACAATATTCTGTCGAACCTTTATCTTCTTATTACCATCTTGTATCATTAACTCACAAGACTCCCAATCTAAACATGCCTAGGCCTTCTTCATCCAGTCATTTCCCACTATCATGGCATAGTTTCTAGCATCGGTCACAAAAGCTTAAGATGTTATAGTTTTTCCTCCCACAGTTACAGGGAATTCTTCAATTTCACCCAAAGGCCTCTTCTGTTTACCATGTACTGCTATCATCATTACTGTTGACGGACAGTCAATGGTCATTCCAACATCCTTTAGAAATCCAGCAGAGACTACATATCCTGACGAACCACTGTCCAAAATCAAGATAATTGGTTGGCCATTTACCTGGGCATCACAATACATTGAAGTTGTGTAAAAGTCTTCACTTTTGCTGAAACAAAATTCAGTGAGCTTCTCTTTTGATACCCTCCCTGGCTGTAACACCTTCAACACCTCCTTCCGTATATTCGGTGCTGCTTGAAAGAGCTGGGCATAAGTTATGTTGGCCTTTTTGTTTTGCAAATCTGTTATTATCGAATATGGCTGGATTTTTGCCATTACTGGAGTTTCTACTAGCTTCATAACCTTCCTCTTCACGACCTTTTTACCATTCCCTAGTTCACTTTTCTGCTTACCAGTTTGCTTACTTGCTTGGTTGTTTACATTACTACACTATTCTCAGGCAAGGGCTTTTCTTCTGTGGGTTCTTCATCAACATGTTTCTTTTTCGCCATGTATGCTTTCTCAATCTTTACAATGGAGGAATTTGTGGATGATCATGCACTCTTACCCTCTTAATGTGCACTTCCAAGTTTAAATGCTCAAAGTTACCTTGTATCTGCACTATCATTGCTTGTGCTCTTGGGGTTCCTTCACTATCCTATTGTCATTCGCTAGGGCATTATTTTGATGCTGACCTGGGGGTTATTACTATTCCTATTACTATTAACACGATTATTGGGCAAACACTCACAGGCATAGTGTCCTACTTGTTGACAAGCATAGCATACAGATGGCCGGTTTATTCTATTAGGTCGGTTTCCATTCTGTAGAGGATGTAATTGGTTATTGTTGTTGTTATCATTATTTCTTACAGCTGTAGCTACCTCATGTAATAGGGCCATAACTTGCTATATAGAAATATTCGAAGCTTGTGCAGGGATGACTGGTTGGTTTACAGAATACATTGGTTGGTGTGATGGTGATATGGGTGTTTGGGTAGTCACATAAGCTAGTTGATGATACAATGCTGGCCCACATACTGCTGTTTTTCTTATAAAAGTCATTTCACAGGTTCATGCCCTGTCAATAGCTTCCTGGAGTATATTTAGCATAAACCATCCTACAACTAGTGACAGGTCTGGACGAAGTCCCCAAACAAACATTTGTGCCTTTGTTATTTCAGGATACTAGTTCCTGACTTGGGTTACTCGATTGAACAACACTAGCATATCTGCAGTGTATTGATCCACTGTTTCTTCCATGCGTTGCTGCCTCATTAGTAATTCGGTGTTCCATTAGTTGATTAGAGCCAGGGTACAAAAGTTTCATCTAAACTGGTGTACAAAACTCTGTCCTACCATTGTCTTGTTACTCCAGTATTGTATTTCTATTTCCTGGTTTCTTAAACTTTCCCACCATAGTGCAGCAAGATCAGACAGCTGTGCACTTGCTATTACAATTCACCTGGCCTCTCGAATGTTGTTGGCACAGAATGCCCATGTAATTGACTCAATCCATTCTATTGGGTCCTGGTTTTTTCCACTGAACATTGGATAATTAACTACATTTCACTCACTAAACTCTGATTGAGTTTCTTGAGGTAGTTTTAGGGCATTTGCTATAACTTGCAATAGTTGTGTTGCTTGCTGATCAAGAGTTGGTTGCTGTTCATGGTCTATTGGTGGGTTTGGATTATCTAACAAACTTTCATTGCTATAAGGCTTACTTCTTTCATGGATGTTTCTTCTTTTTATTGACCTGAAATCATGGTCACTGTCTTTAGGAGTTATGTCATTAAGCATATTTTATCATATTTCCTATACTCTTTGTCCTATTATTACTATTTTGCCTATACAGTGCTTATTTATATTCTTTTTCTAATATTTCCACTACTCATATGTACACAGTGATCATTGATGATTAATTACATGGTCTTTTGGCAGTTGCCCACTCTGGTATTCTTCTACACAATCAGCACCAAATTGCTGTAATTGGGAAAGAGCCTTCCTTATATATTGCCAGTTTTAGCACAGCACTACAAGCACAAATGTGGCCCCAATTTAGCTACAGACTAATTGACAGAGCTGGTCCGGGGTGGTCTCAATTACTGGATTACTGGTAGGCTGTCATAGGTCACATGCCAAATACTAGGGGTCAACAGTCTCTTAGTAACAGTGTAGATGATAGAGGGTTCAAATGCCAAGCTATACTATGCAAGAATATTGCTTATCGCTTTACCACTGGTAGGGTTTCAATTTATACTATCTACTATTAATTTAGCAGAATAAGTTCTTTATTTATTGAGCATACACCCTATTTATACAAATTTTAGAGGTTGGGTCTCAAACCCCTGCTGGGGTTTCAGACCTGTACCTGGAGTTAGGAACCCTAGATTAGGGTCTCAAACCCAATATTGGGTTTAGAACCCTATTACTACATCATACAAATTATGAATTACGCAATGCAGTGTTTTGTACCTTATCCTGGGGTTTCAAACCCTATTACTATGCTATTCTAACTTATTTATGCAGACCATTTATGAGTGTTTCAAGCCTATTACTATGCTATACTAACTTATTTATGCAAACTGTTTATGAGGGTTTTGAACTCTATTACTATGCTATACTAAAAACAAACAGCAGAAGAAAAAAAAAATAATAAAAAGGTACAGAGTTTTTTTCGTAACAGAATGCAAACTGGCAATTAGGCAATGCAAACACTAGATAAGTCCTTGTGGCCATGTAAATCTATTAAAATTGGGTAACAAGAAGTCCATTTGGGAAAATCTAAGTAGAAAGGTAGCCAGATCTTCAATGGCCCTACTGTAAAGGCTAGCCTTATGAAATGGATACCAAGGTCAAAGTAGCCAGATAGGCAAAAACCTCTAGATAGGAGGTACTACCAACCAGGCTGCCAGATCAAGCTGAAGAAAAAGAATATCAGACTGATCTGATATACCAATGAACTGGTTATAAGTCCTACTGGGCTATCTGGATTGGGAGTTTGGTGAACTGACAGTAATATACTAAAGTATTTCGGATATGCTGTAAAGTAGATACTGGAGTTTGTATGAACTCTACAAGGACATAGCAGTTTAATGATTAGCCCTGACTGCAAGTGTTGGTTCTGCTATAGTGATATCTAGATTAGCTGTAAAAATAGGTACAGAAGGCTCTGAGAGGTTTACCTCAAGAATAAATTAGTCCTAAAGTTGAGACAATGATCTGAGCATCTGGGATAACCCAATAATGTTAACACAGATTACAGGTTCAGAATGTTTAAAGTAGAACATCCAAGCAGAGGTGTTAGGTATGGCAATTGGTAGGGAACCTTCAGGTGGACTCCTTAAATAGGTAATATAGAAAAGTTACATGTATAGCCAATTGTATGCTTTTCTGTAGTGGTTCATTGAACCACAATATCGATAAGTGATTAATAAAAATCAAAAGACCAAAAAGGTTACCTTAATACCAAAAAAAAACAAAAAAAAACAAAATAACATGTTGTCTAAATTTATATTTAAGATAATTAGATACTTTAGTTTTGTTGATAGTATTAGAAAATTGACAACTATATAATAAAAAGACTTTTTCAAATCATTTATTAAAATAACTAAATAAGTTTTTGAGTAATAGTATATTATATTTGTTAAGAAAAAACATTTTTAAAAAATTAAAATTCTGTTTAATATTGAATTGATTATTTATTTTAATAAAAAAATATTGTTATTGTTTGTCAAAGTTGATAACTTTAAATGTTATCAAATCTAAGTTTAATATTTTAAGCAAATTTAGTATAGTTAATTGCTTAATAAAAAAATATATAGATGTAAATGATAAGATTAAGACAAAATTTTAATCAGTTTTTATTT